CTGCGATATTTTTATAAATCCTTGGCTTGCCTCAGTTTCCCTCTGCACATTGCATTGTTACCCAGTGGGTGCAAAAGTGTTAACACTGCTCCTGGACCAGCACAAGAGACAGAGGGGTGTGTATGTGTGTGTGAGACCTCGCTGTCTGAGCGGAAAGAAGAGAGTTATTATGTAACTGGCTGAAACCAACCCAAACCAACAGAAGGTCCAGCAAGACCAAGGGACACCCCAATGACTGAACAATCAGCACATAAAGACTGCAAGCAGGGCTTGGGAACCAAGCGGAAAAACAAGGTGTCAGGGGACTGGAATGAGGACTGCTCGTCCGGAGGGTCTCAGGAGCCTGCGGCCCTGGGGAGATGGAGAGGATGGAGAGAGAGCCAGAGACGGACTCCATCACAGCTTGGCTGGCCCCTCATGACACTGGCTTGACCAGGATGATCTCTGGCATAACTCTGCCTCTCTGTGCTAACCTCAGGATGTTCAGAGTCAGTAGCCAGGTGACTAAGAAATGGTCCCTTTGTTTGGAAAAGGCTGCCTGTAAATACTCAGTGAAAGCACTGCACCCTGGAGGGGCCCAAAACAAGCATCTGGCTGTGCTGCATTCATCACAGGGAGAGACAGGGATGGCTGGGGCTGAAGGCCCCATCTTGGAGTTGAGGAGGCCACAGGCCTGCCTCGGTGGGACTGTGTGGGTCCTTGGGATCTGGCGCATGAAAGGGGTCACTCCCAAGAGACTTGTCAGAGCTGGGCTATAGACTGGACCTAGGACCCCATGACACCCTCTGAAGACTCACCAGGCATTTCTCTTTGGAGACCCTTGTTGTAACTTGGCTTTGGACTTGGCTACCCTGGAAAGACTGGAACTGCCGTGTGTCTTAGCCAGAGGGCTACAGCTCCACAGCCCTGCTCCTGGCACATCATGGTGACCAGGCATTGGAGTCCCGTGTGAGTAGCACCATGTTGGTCCCCAAGGGACTGCCCTTAAAGCTACTGCTACAGGCCTATTTGGGAAAGGAACAATAACTGCGTTCCCTCAGTGCTAAGAAGGGAAGTGGTGGTGAGAACACAGGAAGGGCACCTTGGAATGAGCCAATCCAAAGGAAGATCGGGATAAATTGGATTTTGGCCACAGATGAACAGTGATATTGATAAAAATGGCGAGCAAGAGTGGAACCCACCTGAGATTCAGGCATGCCCAACGGTATGAGTCTGTGGCACAGCATAGACAACCTAGAATTTCTTCCCTGGGTCAGAATCTGAATTGATTTGTTTGCTCTAGGAAAATAGCCTATCTGGTCATAATGGACTATAAGCCCTGGTCTACACTAGGACTTTAGGTCGAATTTAGCAGTGTTAAATCGATGTAAACCTGCACCCGTCCACATGATGAAGCCCTTTATTTTGACTTAAAGGGCTCTTAAAATCGATTTCCTTACTCTACCCCTGACAAGTGGATTAGCGCTTAAATCGGCCTTGCCGGGTCGAATTTGGGGTACTGTGGACACAATTCGATGGTATTGGCCTCCGGGAGCTATCCCAGAGTGCTCCATTGTGACCGCTCTGGACAGCACTCTCAACTCAGATGCACTGGCCAGGTAGACAGAAAAAGAACCGCGAACTTTTGAATCTCATTTCCTGTTTGGCCAGTGTAGCCAGCTGCAGGTGACCATGCAGAGCTCATCAGCAGAGGTGACCATGCAGAGCTCATCAGCAGAGGTGACCATGATGGAGTCCCAGAATCGCAAAAGAGCTCCAGCATGGACTGAACGGGAGGTACGGGATCTGATCGCTGTTTGGGGAGAGGAATCCGTGCTATCAGAACTCCATTCCAGTTTTCGAAATGCCAAAACCTTTGTCAAAATCTCCCAGGGCATGAAGGACAGAGGCCATAACAGGGACCCGAAGCAGTGCCGTGTGAAACTGAAGGAGCTGAGGCAAGCCTACCAGAAAACCAGAGAGGCGAACGGCCGCTCTGGGTCAGAGCCCCAAACATGCCGCTTCTATGATGAGCTGCATGCCACTTTAGGGGGTTCAGCCACCACTACCCCAGCCGTGTTGTTTGACTCCTTCAATGGAGATGGAGGCAACACGGAAGCAGGTTTGGGGACGAAGAAGATGATGATGATGAGGTTGTAGATAGCTCACAGCAAGCAAGCGGAGAAACCGGTTTTCCTGACAGCCAGGAACTATTTCTCACCCTGGACCTGGAGCCAGTACCCCCCGAACCCACCCAAGGCTGCCTCCTGGACCCGGCAGGCGGAGAAGGGACCTCCGGTGAGTGTACCTTTTAAAATACTATACATGGTTTAAAAGCAAGCATATGAAAGGATTAATTTGCCCTGGCATTCGCGGCTCTCCTGGATGTACTCCCAAAGCCTTTGCAAAAGGTTTCTGGGGAGGGCAGCCTTATTGCGTCCTCCATGGTAGGATACTTTACCACTCCAGCCCAGTAACACGTACTCGGGAATCACTGTAGAACAAAGCATTGCAGTGTATGTTTGCTGGCATTCAAACAACATCCCTTCTTTATCTCTCTGTGTTATTCTCAGGAGAGTGAGATATCATTCATGGTCACCTAGTTGAAATAGGGTGCTTTTCTTCAGGGGACACTCAGAGGTGCCTGTTCCTGCTGGGCTGTTTGCCTGTGGCTAAACAGAAATGTTCCCCGCTGTTAGCCACAGGGAGGGGGGAGGATTGAGGGGGTAGCCACGCGGTGGGGGTGAAGCAAAATGCGACCTTGTAACAAAAGCACATGTGCTATGTATGTAATGTTAACAGCAAGGTTTACCCTGAAAGAGTGTAGCCACTGTTTTATAAAATGTGTCTTTTTAAATACCACTGTCCCTTTATTTTCTCCACCAGCTGCATGTGTTTCAATGATCACAGGATCTTCTCCTTCCCAGAGGCTAGTGAAGCTTAGAAAGAAAAAAAAACGCACACGTGATGAAATGTTCTCTGAGCTCATGCCGTCCTCCCACACTGACAGAGCACAGACGAATGCATGGAAGCAGACAATGTCAGAGTGCAGGAAAGCATAAAATGACCGGGAGGAGAGGTGGCGGGCTGAAGAGAGTAAGTGGCGGGCTGAAGAGAGTAAGTGGCGGGCTGAAGACAGGGCTGAAGCTCAAATGTGGCGGCAGCGTAATGAGAGGAGGCAGGATTCAATGCTGAGGCTGCTGGAGGATCAAACCAGTGTGCTCCAGTGTATGGTTGAGCTGCAGCAAAGGCAAGTGGAGCAGAGACTGCCACTGTAGCCCCTGTGTAACCAACCGCCCTCCTCCCCAAGTTCCATAGCCTCCACACCCAGACGCCCAAGAACGCGGTGGGGGGCCTCCACCACAGAGGATTGCCCAAAAAACAGAAGGCTGGCATTCAATAAATTTTAAAGTTGTAAACTTTTAAAGTGCTGTGTGGCATTTTCCTTCCCTCCTCCACCATCCCTCCTGGGCTACCTGAGGCCAAAGGCAAACTTCAAGGAGAAATAAAAGACAGATGAAAAATTGCTGTTCTTGTTTTTAAAGAATTAGTGGGATTTACAAAGACAGATGCTAACGGATGAGTGTGGCAAGACAGAAAAAACCACCTGACTTTTGCAACAATATACCCATCTGCACAGCCCTTCACTCCATGTATGTAAAATATTACACCCAAAAAGCTACACTAAAGGAATGGTCTTAGGTTGCAAATCAAGCCCTTGAAAGTTAGGAAATGCCAGATTTATAGTTGCCAGTGCAATGTTAGTTCTACCCCTTATGTGTCCACCCTGAATGCGACTGGGGATCTGATCCTGTCATTAGTGATTGTATCACAATGCATAGGCACCAGGGAGCAGGTCTGGCACTGCTCAGGCAACCTAAACTCTGGTATTACCTAACTTTTGAGTGCTTCACCTTGCAACTTAAATAATTTTGTTAGTGTTTCAATGGAATGTTTACCTCCCCCCGCCCCCGAAAAGAAGGTTAAAAACAAATTCTATGATGTGCACCTGCAACAACTTCCCCACACTATCAGTAGGGCTTCAACCCCGAACTGTCAGCAGTGCAGCATAGACTATTACCTCTTGAATTGCAGGACATTAGCTAGCAGCTGCAGAAGGCCCCAATCCTGAGGTCAGGGTGTAGGGTTGCCACTCATCTGGTTTTCGACCAGATCGCCTGGTCTCTGGCGGCTCTGGTCAGCACTGCTGAAAGTCATTGAAAGTCTGGTTTGCCGCCCGCAGCGGGGCAGGCAGGCTCCCTACCAGGCTCTGCGTGGCTCCTGAAAGTGGCTGGCATGTCCCCCTGGCTCCCAGGACAGTAACGGGGGCTCCCCTCCCCAAGTGCTGGCTCTGCAGCTCCCATTGCCCAGGAACCGCGCCCATTGGGAGCTGCAGGGCGGCGCCCGCAGACAGGGGCAGCGCAGGGAGCCAAGACATCCAGTGCCCGCACCCTGAACCCCCTGCCCTGAGCCTCCTCCCGCACCCAAACTCCCTCCCGGAGCCCAGGCTCCCGCACCGCACCCCCCTGCCCCAGCCCCGAGCCACCTCCTGCCCTCTGACAGGCTCACCCCCACCCCCTTCCTGCCCCCCAACTCCCACCCCCGGCCCCACCCCCTGGAAGGGGAATGGAGTGGCCAGGGGCGGGGCCTCAGAGAAGGGGCGGGGCCTCAGAGAAGGGGCGGGGCAGGGGCGGTTTTGGGGTGCCCCGCCCCTTCTCTGAGGGTTTTGGGGTGCCCCGCCTGGAGGCGCGACGCTGGTCTCAGGTTCGCTGTTACACGGGCGCAGGGAGCGGGCGCAGCCAAGCCCAAAGACACCCCCTCCCCCACCGGCGGCCCTGGAGCCCCGCCCCGCGGCCAGGCACCCGCCCCGCCCTGCCCTGCCCTGCCCTGCCCTCGAGCGCCCCGCGAGCGCGCGCACCCGCTCCCCAGCCCACGGCACGTGCTTCCCGCGCGCGCGCGCGCGCTCTCCCTCCCGTCTCCCGCCTTCCTCCCCTCTGCCGGAAGCCCCTCCCCCGGGCGCGCGTCATCTCCGCCCGCTCGGCTCCGCAGCTCCAATATGGCGGCGCCCTGTGGCTCCTCGCAGCTCCCGGCCGCCGAGTCGCCGCTGAAGATCCCCAAGATGGAGGTCCTGTCGCCGGGCTCGCCGGGGGCGCTCAGCGACGGCAACCCCAGCCTCTCCGACCCCTCCACGCCCAGCGGCGCCTCCCCGCTGGGGCCGGGCGGGCCGGGCTCTGCCAGCGCCGCGGGGGCCGGGGCGGGGGGCGCCGGGGCGGGGGGCCGCGGCGGCGGCGGCGCGTCGCCCTCCGTCTCCTTCTCTCCCGGCGGCGGCGGCGCGGCGGCGGCGGCGGCCGCGGCCGCTTGCCGGGGCATGTCGTGGACGCCGGCCGAGACCAACGCGCTGATCGCGGTGTGGGGCAACGAGCGGCTGGTGGAGGCGCGGTACCAGCAGCTGGAGGGCGCCGGCACCGTCTTCGGCAGCAAGGCCCCCGGGCCCGCCATGTACGAGCGCGTCTCCCGCGCCCTGGCCGAGCTGGGCTACGAGCGGACCCCGTCCCAGTGCCGCGAGCGCATCAAGGTACCCGCCGGGCGGGCAGGGGGGCGCCCCGCGGCCGGGAGGGGCTGGGCAGCGCGGCCTCTCCCCGCCCCCTCCGCCGGGGCTGGCGGGGCGCGTCCCGGGGCCCTGACCCCGTGGACAGCTCCCGGGGCCGGCGCCGGCAGCTCCGTCACGGGGCTCGGAGGAGGGTCCGTCCCGCGGGCGGCTGGCTGCTTCCGGTGGGCCCCGCGGTGAGACACCGGGGAGCCCCGGTGCTGGGCTGCGAGCCGGCCGCTACGCAGACGGCGGAGTCGTGTCTGGTTTGTGGTCGTCTGAGCGATGGATGGAGGGACGGACGGACGGATTTTCTGCTTGGCGGGGAGGCAGTGTTCCCCCCTCAGGGCTTTTCTCCCCCTGTCTGGGACTGACAGGGGAATGGGCATGCACATGTCGTGATGAGCGAGACTCCAGAGGCAGGCTCGGTGTCTTGCTTCGGAGCATCCTGAACTTCAGATAGCCATCCTATTCTCATGGGGCGGGAAATCTCTTGTAGGCTACTTTTCTTGCAAGAGTTTTAGTCAGGTCATAAATATGGTGAAAATAGCTGTGTTTCTTGAAGCAGGTGCTGGTTTTATGCTTCTACTTGGTCATTTGATGCACTGTAAAACTTCTTTAAGTCCCTTATTCTTGGGCATCTTCCAAGGATTTGCTGTGTAAATCAACTGGACTTCCCTGCAACATGTGCATTTCTAGTTTTACTATAGGTACTAGACCTGGTGAAAAATTAATTAAAACTACTCCTCACTAGGGCTGCATTGTTTGTCCAGCTTTCTTTCATGACAGTCTTCCGCTGTGTCTACACTTAAAACGCTACAGCGTTAAGTATAAACACTTCCTATAGCAATGGGAGGGATTCTCCCATTGCTGTAGGCAGTCCACCTACTTGAGAGGCAGTAGCTAGGTCGAAACAAGAATTCTTCAGTTGGCCTAGCACTGTCTACACAGGCATTAGATTGTCTTAAATACATCTGTGAGGTGTGGATTTTTCAGATCTCTACAAGACATAGCTATGTCGATGTAATTTTTCAGAGTAGACCAGGCCTTGGTTGCTACAGGATGTGGAGGGAACCTTATGCAGTGACTGCGGAAGACTGTTGGATTAATTCAGCTGTACTGGTTACACACTCTGGAGTAAATGTAATGTTTCCTAAGAGCATTACATAGTAGGTTCTGTGGTGAAAGGCTGTCACATTTAGTGGCATTTGGGGCACTTGTTTTGGGTGAGCCTGTTGGTTTGAACAGGTCAAAAGATTGCCAAAAAAAAGTATCTGTATACCAGAGTGAACATTTTAATGATTAAGTCCATTCACGTACACTGTTCTAAGCTAATTTCTAGGAAGAGTCTCCCCCGCCCCTTCCAATTAGACTGAAAGTTTTGAACAGAACTTTGTTAGCCTGAAATGATCAAGGTTGGCAAAGTCAATGAATTAGCTACATTATTTCACGCTTACGTATCACAGTGATAAGCAGTTGAGAAAAACTAAAGGTTTTCTGTTATCAGGCTTGGACTTGTCATGTAGCGATATCTCCAGCAGCATCACTTAGCATTTTTGTCAGATACTTGTCTATAGACCCTTCTGGATCAATCTGATACATTTATAATGAACTGCGTAGGCTATTCTAAGCATTAGAAAGTATCACTTAGGCCCTGTCTGCACTGCCACTTTACAGCGCTGAAACTTTCTCGCTCAGGGGTGTGGAAAAAACACTTCCCTGAGCGATGCAAGTTTCAGCGCTGTAAAGTGGCAGTGTAGACGGTGCACAAGCGCTGGGAGCTACTCCCCTCATGGGGGTGGGTAGTTCTTTGTTTTTTTACAGTGGTGGGAAACCTCTCTCCCACCGCTGGTGTCGCGACTACACAGTCATGTTAAAGAGCTGCCGCGGCAGCACTTTCACGTTGGCAGTGAAGATACACCCTTAGTATCTGTTAAAACCATTTGATTTACTTTTTTTGTGAGAGTGGTTCCCATTGATACACTTTCTGTGAGAGGCTAAGCCTAAGGCTTGCTGCCAAAATGGACAGGTGAAGAACAGCAGTTAAGTGTTGCTGCTGTCCAGTAATGTGACTCAGCTGCTGCCCCTTACTCCACGACGATGACTTTTTTTGGTGCATTCTTATTACATCTTGAACACATTCCATAACGGCGCTTAATGCGTGACAGTGAGATCATGCCGATACCTAATCTTCTGCATATCCTGGAACCCTGCTGTTACGATGCTCTTCAGTACAGTCATCTGGGAGGATGAGAGTCTCATATGGAAAACCTGTTCAGAGGACCATTCAGGATAGTGCTGGGGTGCTCAAAACCAGAATTTTCTCACTAATTATCCAGCATCAGCCAGGGCTGGCATTTTTTTTTTTTTTCAAAGGAGCCAAGTGTTGGTCTTGATGCAGAAATTACTGAGTGAAATTCTCTGGACTGTTTATGCACAACACCAGGCTAGATGATCACAGGGATTCTAGTTTTCCATGATATAATATTAAAAAAAAATTCTCTGATGGAAAAAACAGTCTGAACTTTAGTTTTCGTAGCCACGCTATATTAGTTGAACATAATGTTTTATTGATACGGTGGAACCCCATTTATCTGATCTAATTGGAACCAGGCCCAGCTCAGACAATCAAAAATTCGGATAACCCAGAGAGCTAAGACCCAGGTGACAGGACTCGGGCTCTCGGCCCCAGTTCAGTTAATACAGAGAGCTGAATAATGGAGGCTCAGATAAACAGGGTTCTACTGTATGGATTTTTTTCCCCCACAAAATGTAAAAACTAAAGATTCTCCGTAAAAACACACATTCTATGTTTCGTGTCGTCTCCTCCCCCCCGCCCCTCCCCGGGCAGTCCGATTTCTAGGATCCCCAATTATCACAATTGTACTTTCTGGCTTTAAAGTACCAACTCCCATGGAATTTCAGTGAGATGTGGATGCCTGGCTCCTTTGGAAATGTCGGCCTAAATTACTTAATTAAATGAAGTTATAGCCAAACCTCCACTTTGATTTTTATAATCTATTTTGACTGGTATCCCTTGACATGCATTGAACAAAAACTAAAATTAATGATGTTGCAATTATAGTGTATAAACATAAAGTATTTGGGATGCCACTTAAGTCAAGATTTATGTTTAGTGTTTTTAAACAGGTTTCAGAGTAGCAGCTGTGTTAGTCTGTATTCGCAAAAAGAAAAGGAGTACTTGTGGCACCTTAGAGACTAACCAATTTATTTGAGCATAAGCTTTCGTGAGCTACAGCTCACTTCATCGGATGCATGTAGCTCATGAAAGCTTATGCTCAAATAAATTGGTTAGTCTCTAAGGTGCCACAAGTACTTTTCTTTTTGTTTTTAAACAAAAACTTTATTTTGGTTTTCCTCAAACACTTAAATTCCATGGAATCTATAGAATCTTGATTCACCTCCACCCACGAACTCATTTAGCCCACTCTTCTGAAGAATAGTGTTTTCCCTTTTTCAGTTGTATCAGATACATGCATCATGTTTGAATTAGGGTAAAATGCAAAGCATGATTACAGTTCAAATCGCCTGTCTTTTAACATCTGCATATACTTTTCTCCACATATGCACATCTGGCCTGCAGTCTAGGAAGTTCTCTGGACCAATCAGCTTGGTAACCACGAAGCACAGAAAATTCAGATCTTAGTTTCCAGATCAATGATATCCCAAAAGATTTTTTTTGAGCACGTATTTTCCCTATTCTATAAATTTTAAATGATATCCTTAATTTTATCATTTCTTGGTCATTGATACTTTCTACTGATTGTTCAAATTGCCTGTGGTCTCATAGTTCATGTTAACAGAAGAACTATTTGCTAATATACATGTGGTTGTTGCCCTGTACTACAGTTACTCTTCACTTGTATGTGAACAAAAATTATTCAGTAGAGAAACCAGGCAAAGTGGTTTACATGGCGTTGGCCTAGCTACCCTGGTGCAGTAATGTGAAGAGAGAGTCTCTACTGTTTGATTTTGATTCAGAATTAAAAAAAAAAACTTTCTCCAGAATATAGCTATCACAAAACATCCCACATCCTTCATGAAGTACAAATTTATTTTTTAAGACTTTGTATCTTCCCTTCACCTAAAACTCTCTCTGCTTTAGAGAGTGAACAAGAGCTTAGTTCTTAACCTGAATCGCAAAGCACAGAGATTAACTACCTAAAAACTGAGCTTTTATATAGTGCTTTGCATTGTCAGACTGATGTATGTACAATAATGTGAAGATCAAAAGCTGATGTGTTCGTGAAAGTGGTGTTCCTCAGGATTAGTTATAACTGAGTTACAATACTTGGGTTATGTGGTCTCATCCCAGTCCTAACATTTAAATGCATCACTGAAAACAATACATATAGATGCACTGTGACAGTGGGCACAGTGTGTGAAATCTTAGATCAGTCAATCTCCTTTGGCCAAAACAGCAGAAATGTTCAAAGGTTCTGCTTTTAGACTTTTTTAGAAGGGAAAAAGAGTACTGTTAAATAGTATACCTATATCAGTTTAAAAAAATACTTTGCAGTAATCTTATACATCTTAAAATCCTTTTAAACAATTTCTCCTCCAGTAACATTTACACTCTTCAGCAAAGGAAAAATTGTTTATCTTGTGCATTTGACAGCATTGTGTTTATATGTTTGACTCACAGACAGAATTTTCATGTTAAGTTGTGTCAGTTTATCTGTACCTACTGTAGCGACAACTATCACCATCTTTCAGATTAATGTGCCTTTCCAGGTGGACAGTACCCTTCAGAGTTGCAACTTAACTTTGTATTGATGCTGGTAATTTGTCTGAATTTGTCTCAGTTTTTTAATAAATGGACTATTTATCTGCCATTGTTGTATTCAGTGTTGCCATGTTGGTCCCGGATATTAGAGCAGGGGGGCAAACTTTCTGGCCTCAGGGCCACATTGGGGTTCCAAAGCTGTTTGGAGGGCTGGGTAGGGAAGGCTGTGCCTCCCCTAACC